AATTATTGAATGTCTGTGCAATGAAGAAAAGGACAATGTTGCTGTTTTGAAAAATTGTTTATTGTTAACTGTTATCAAAGAGATTATGCATAAAGTTCGCAGTGGAGAAGCATTGTGGAGTGTGACTGATTAATTCTCTCTCCTTTTTCAGGGGTATAACACACGCGCCGGCTGTTGTGAACATATCTATGGTTGTGAACGCGTTCAGGACAGCTGGACATTGCGGTGTATCAGAGGTAAAAAACGATATAAATACTGTTCAGTTTCTTGCACAGACCGATCGTTTCGTGTCTTTAGACCTCAATGTATCGTCACGAGCCGCAGGGTTTAATTTGGTTTTGTCTGTATATGTTTTTTTGACTCTCAAAGCCATGAGTCCCATTGACTGCCATTATATGACTGACAGACTGCAACGGTTTGAGTTAAAAATCTTCGTTTCTGTTCTACTGAAGAAACAAAGTCACCTACATCTTAGATGCCCTTGGGGGTAAGCAGGTAAACATAAAATTTTCATTTTTTGGGGTGAACTATCCCTTTAATTAATTTCCTTTTATATTGATTTCTATAATTTATAAATGTTACTGTATGAGGGGCTAAACCTTTTAAAAACGACACCAATTATCTTTGTCAGACATGTTCAGGTACATAAGCATTAAAGAGTTAAAGTCCACACTAATGTTTCCATGTTCTTCTGTTTTTCTTCTGTTTGAATCTGTGATCCGATTGGTCATCTTTGCTCTGATGGGCGTGGCTGCTGTTGCTGCAGTAGTTATAGCATCACATCTGGATACAATCAGTAAGACGAGACATAGACACCAGGGGGCGCTGTTTTCAAGTCTACCAAAAATACATTAAATACATGTCTAAAGCCCGATTCGGACGGTAATTGTTTCTCATATGGACGTCTGTAAAAATAAATGTACATATCACCTCAGTGATAAAACTCATGGATTCGGATGGCGATTTATTCACAGTGGAGGAGCGAGTTCTGTGATCCTACGAACCCCGGAACGCGCTGCTCACGTGGCCAGTCACATGATATTTACAAATGAATTCTTATTATTGTGTAAAATGTATTTAAAAATACTTATGTAAAATGTATTTTTATTATTCCAATCATATTTTATAATATATAAATTTTATAATATCCTATTTATTATTTTATCATTTAAATCTCCTGTTTAAAACTCCTGTTTTATAATAATACACATTTTAAAATTGTATTGCATAACTGCTGCGGCCATAATAAAGACCCAATTCGAATGTTTACGTGCTTTTCTTGTCTTTCTGCTCCCAGACGCTGTGGTGGAGCAGTTATGAAGTGTTGTTCTTTTAAATACTTTCCAGCATTTCAGAAATAAATATGTATGCAAATTACACAAGGTTAACTTACGGTGTTCGGGAGTGCTCAAAAAAGGTTTAAACGCTGAATTTTGAATCGATTTCTTCTCGTAAACTCAGAGATGTGGATTCGAACGGCAATTAAATTACCGCACGGCCTTGGTGTTTGTCAAAAAACAGTAGGTAATTCGGCCGGGGATTTTTTACGGGGGTGGTGTGAGAAAAACACTGACGTCTTGGATTCGGACGGCATTAAAATCACCAACTACCCCCTGTAAATCACTTGCGTCCCCCTGAGAAACAATTACCGTCCGAATAGGGCTTAATTTAACTCTTTAGTTGACTAGGCTTTACAACACCTTTCAGAATTTTTGGGTTGTTTTTGAATGCGTTTGGTTTGGTTTTGTCTATCCATCTCTACCTCTGCAGCAAGAGAAATCTTATTGTAACCACAATTAATAAGTGCAACAAAAAAATCTTTGAGACAGATTTATTTCAAATTAAGCAAAATAAAACATTGTCAACAAACCAATGATGTCACACAGATGATTTTTACTACAATTATAAATCTTGGAAGAGCCAGGATATTTGTTAATATAACTCAGACTATATTCACATGAAAGAAGAAAATCACATACACCTAAAATGGATTGATGGTAAGTAAATTATGGGATAATTTTCACTTTTGGGTGAAGTTTAAAACATTTCAATTAAGTATTGACTAATTTTTTGTGCTGTAAATTGAGAAATGGAGAAATGTAAATTGTACTATTTTCTTAGTCTTTGTTAAACATCTTCCTCCTCATTGTGGTTTTCTGTGGAGTCTGAAAATGTTATAATTCAACTTAAAGTTGAAACACTGAATAAAGTATTAAAAAGAGTGAAATGGTAAATTATACTTAAAGGAATAGTTCACCCAAAAATGAAAATTATGTTGTTATTACCCTCATGTTGTTCCAAACCTGCAAGACCTTCTTCATTCATCTTCAGAACACAAATTAAGATATTTGTAATGAAATCCGAGAACTTTCTGACCCTACATTAGGAGCAATGCAATTTATACATTCAAGGTCAATAAAGGTAGGAAAGACATCATTAAAGTAATCCATGTGACTCCAGGGGGTTAACCTAAATTTTGTGAAGCAAGAGCTTTGCACAAAAAAACATAATTTACCACTTTAAGAAAATATTGACCTGCAATCCAGTATGGGGAGCACCATGGTTCATGCATGTTTAAAACTGAGACTGGAAGTTGTTCTGAAAACGTACTTTGGAGAATATTATTTTGTAAATATAGTGGTAAATTGTCTTTTTGAGCAAACAAAAAAACACAAAGCACAAGACAATGCTATTTTTTTTATTCTCTATTTGTAGGTGTATTTCTTATAAGTTACGGTCAGTTTTAAATGAAAAAGTGTCCAGTAACAGGGAGGAAACGAATAGTGTTCGACTGGTTATGTTCAATGTAAAATGAAATGCTTTTATTAAACTATAGGACAATATTTGGCCGAGATACAACTATTTGAAAATCTGAAATCTGAGGGTGCAAAAAAATCTAAATATTGAGAAAATCGCCTTTAAAGTTCTTAGCATATTATATAATCAAATTAAGTTTTGATATATTTACAGTAGGACATTTAAGAAATATCTTCATGGAACATGATCTTTACTTAATATCCTAATGATTTTTTGCATAAAAGAAAAAATGATCATTTTGCCCCTGCAATGTATTGTTGGCAATACAAATATTCCCGTGCGATTTATGACTGGTTTTGTGGTGCAGGGTCACATATTATTGTTTCTTACATTATTTTTCCATTGTTGTTTAGTCTTAAGACTGTGTGTTTCAAGGGCTGTTTATCTTCATGAATAAGAGATATGAGGGAATATTTATGGAAAGTCCAGGTTTATGTTGTTTTGAATCAGTTTGTTATAACAATACTTGTTGGATTTGTGCTGGTCAGACGAAGTCTGAGCACTGAAACATACGCAAGTAAGATTATTCAATAAACTCTGCTCCTTTTTGCCATCATCACTTCGTCTCCTGCTTCTGCTCTTCACTGGATTTCTCAGTCAACTTCTCGGCTGATAGAAGACTGTTAAACACTACTTTTGGATATTTTAGGTACCAGACAAGACTTGCTTTTGATGGGTTTTGGGTATTAGGCAATTTTGCTGACTAGTTGTTCTGTTACCAGACAAAACAGATATTTTCTGACAGGATCTAGTGTCCGGGGCTGGGTCTTAATTATCTGGCGTGGAGGCATGATCTTGTCTACAAGTTAATGTATCAGAATGGTAATGCATTTATGTATCGCTCTCTACAATGTGACTACTTTAGCAAACAGCTAATAGTGTGTTGCTAATGTTACACAAACCACGTTCGCCATCTCAGAGTCATCTAGAAATCAGCATCCTTGCAAATGCTTTTGAACATCCTTGAATGCTTTGTGATAACTTCATTACTGGGAGGCTAAATCAACAGTAATTTTTAACACAAATATGAAATATTGTTCACAACAACAAAACATCTATAAAAATATCATATTTAACAAAATTAACAGAGGAAAGGATTTGAACTGCTATGTCTTTATTCCAACTGTTCTTTTTCTGCTGAATCGTGCTGATATGAACAAAGAAAACTAACATTTACATGTACAAAAATATGCTTTACTTTACTTCATGAAAGAAAGTAAATGAACTAAGAATGATACATACTGTACATAATTTCTCGTAGGAACAAGACAATCAAAAAACAACTTAAACTATGCTAACCCTCTATTCTACATTTATTTTAATCACTGCATAAAAGATAATACTTATTAACAAATGGTGATTAAACATGGATTAAAATTATACAAGTCGGAGAGGGGAAGGTAATGGAGCATAACAATCCACTCCGCTTTACTATTATAACTAACAGCTTCAGTTGATGTTTGTTTATATAGAAGATATTTTATTGATTGGTTTTATTGGGTCATGTTTGGTGAGGACATGGTGTCGCGATTAAATGTGCTGGATCCAAAGAAAAATTCAGATATGATTTCATGATTACAGACATTTGTTTTTTTTTGTATGACTGAGTAAAGAAGATGAATGAGTGAAACTCTTCCCACATGGAATGCAGTGATAGGGTTTTTGTCCAGTGTGGATCCTCTCATGTCTTTTCACATAATCTGACCATTTGAATCTCTTGTCACAGTGTGAACACTTGTAAGGTTTTTCTCCAGTGTGGATCCTCTCATGTAATTTCAGATAATCTGACCATTTGAATCTCTTGTCACATTTTGAACACTTGAAAGGTTTTTCCTCACTGTGCATTCTCTGGTGCAGTTTCAGTTCAGCATCTCTAACAAAAGTCTTCCCACAATCAATGCACATGTGAACATGAGTACGGCTTCTCTCCAGTGTGGATTCTCATGTGATCCTTAAGGTTGGCTTTTATCGGAAAACTCTTCCCGCATTGATCACATGTGTGCAGATTCTTTCCAGTGTGGATTCTCATGTGTAATGTCAGGCTTCCTTTTACTGTGTAACTCTTCCCACATTGATGGCAGGTGAAAGACTTTTTGGCCCTTCTTTGCAATAAATTACTTTTAGTCTGTGAGCGACTCAAAGATTTCTCACTAGTTTTGACATGATGCTGTTTCTCCTCTGCCTCACTCAGTTCTTGTTTTACCGCACTGATCACAGGTGAATGGTCTTTCTCCAGAATGACGACGCAGGTGTATTTTAAAGGTGCATGACTTTCTGAAACTCTTTCCACACTGATCACATGTGAACGGCTTCACTCCAGTATGGATTGTCATGTGTTCCCTAAGAGATCCTTTTTGTCTGAAACTCGTCCCACATTGATCACATGTGTGTGGTTTCACTCCAGTATGGATTTTCATGTGTTCATTAAGAGATCCTTTATGTATGAAACTCTTCCCACATTGATCACATGTGTACGGCTTCTCTCCACTATGACCTCTCATGTGAATATTAAGACTCTGTATGTATGGGAAACTCTTCCCGCACTGATCACATGAGTACGGCTTCTCTCCAGTGTGGATTCTCATGTGATCCTTAAGGTTGGCTTTTATCGGAAAACTCTTCCCGCATTGATCACATGTGTGCAGATTCTTTCCAGTGTGGATTCTCATGTGTAATGTCAGGCTTCCTTTTACTGTGTAACTCTTCCCACATTGATGGCAGGTGAAAGACTTTTTGGCCCTTCTTTGCAATAAATTACTTTTAGTCTGTGAGCGACTCAAAGATTTCTCACTAGTTTTGACATGATGCTGTTTCTCCTCTGCCTCACTCAGTTCTTCACTCTCCTCACTCTCTTCCATCAGGTCTAAAATGAAACGTAAGCAAGGATGATGTAGTGAATATTTATTTATTTATTTAAAGAAAGAGATCAGATAGAATGAAAATATGAGTACATTAACTTTTTTTTTTTTGCTCTATTACAGGCCGAACTCTCTGTAGCCATTTTAAATTAGAGGCAGCCACTGCATTTTAATCATGATCCAAAGAAAGATTCTACATACATGAGCAATTTCTGATTTAAATTTGATGAAATTTCAAAATCTGAAGCAAAAACAGAATGGTCTTTATCTTTGTGAAATGTATGCTACTTAAAAGATGGAAAAACAGCAGACAGGCTGAAAGAGAACGCAAATTCACTCTCTGACAGCAGGTGGCACTTATGGAACAGCAGCCATACAGTGTTTCCTTGGTTACCACTGTAAACAAAGTAGTAGAAATACTACTTTTGCATGCATTAGCCTACAGAGGCAAGATGAAAAGAAAATACCATCTAAACTTTTCTGAAGATAGTCAGCTCCCCCAAATATACATTCATACAATGTTCTGGAGAGATGCATGTTCACTCACAGACAGGTTTGTCTATAAATTAAATGAAGAGAAGCCCTTTTTGTCATGATCTTTATGTGTCTTTTTTTGGCCTGATTAAAAGTGAATTTAGAGCAAAGCTCTGCATTATTTTGGTGGTTGTAAATCTTTCCTGCCTGGGAGTTACGTACAACTTTACACATAGTTTGTTGGGAAAGGGGTTTCAAAGATTATTTGTTAAATATAACAAATAATTGTGTGTCTGACTGGTTCGTTTGTTAGAGTTAATTATTAGTAAAGCATAAAAATAAGAGAAACGTGAAGGGAAAGACATAAGTAAACCGTGATATAATATCAGAAATATGAATTCCTTAAGTAAGCTTACTTCATAAAAATGTTTTCTACCTGCATTAAAAGCAGGACAGTCCAATAAAATACGTTTCTCGCACTGCCCAAGTAAATATCACACCGGATTAAAAAAGCCAATGTGTTTGACATCAACAATCATGAGAGCGATTCAGCAACATTAATAAAGAATCAAGAATAAACACCAACCTCCTTGCTTTGCAGTATATTTGCGATTTATTCTGCAAGGTTCTGGATTATTCATGTTCTCATTGTTCTCTAATCTTCACTTTTAAGATGATGAAAATAATCCAGCATTGGTGAATTCCTGTGTTGAATAGGAGAAGATCTGCAAAAATCTAAAATAAATGATTGAGTAACACATTATATGTTATGTTTAACTATCCATCTATCTTAATGTAAAACTTCATTTCATTTAGTAGACTTCATTTCGTTTTTACTGAGCTGTATTTTTGTTCATTGGTTATTATTTATTCATTTGCTGTTTTATATGGAAAAATTTTTCTTCACATAAAAAAGTTAAGATAGGTGTATCTTTAAGACCTCAAAAATGTTGATCATTTGCTTGCACCAATTAAATGAGCATTATTACAAGATATCTTCTATGAGGTGAAAAGGGGAGCTGTTGACATGAAGTAAGAATTATCGTTTAATCAATAATCAAATAATATGAGTCAGACATGATATATTCTGAAAATGATGATAAAACTGCTCTATAGTAGGGGAGAGCGGGGCACAAAGTAACACTTTTTGACTTTCTCAGTTTGTGTAAATCCACATGGGGTTCAGAGTATTTATTTTTTTATCCACAGTAATTTCACACGTGTCTAGCACAAATATGTCGCTTTGTTTCATAATTACAGTGTATACGTTTTTCTTTATTTACCCTCAAAAAATGGAAGTGAAATGTGACAACATGCCCCGTAGGTGGGGCACATTGTAACATGACCATATGACAGCTTAAAATGTTATCTGATCGAATGAAAAAAACATACAAAACAATCTAAAATATTTTGTTAATAAAATTATTTTTTTCAAATAAAATAATGGCGTTTTTTAAGAATTAAAAATAATCAGATATTGGAGTTTGACAATGAACACATTGCAACCATGCTTCGGTCGGCCCACATAAACGAGCAAAAATGCTTTACATGTCTTGAAATAATAATTTCTAAACATTAAACATTGACTGTCAGTCTTTATTCACCTGTTTCTCGTTGTTTCTCATTAAAATTAATTAAAGAAAATAGTGTGAATTACATCGCTAATGTCATAGAATAGCACATTGTAACGCAGTGTAACAACGTGCCCCATCTTCGCAAAGTAAAAAAGAGAGTTTAAAACTGGTTATTGTCTTCTGCTAGTTATCAAAGACTTAAAAAAACGATCTGAACTGATAAATAACAGATTGGAGATTAAAATAATAGCAGATTTGTCTAATTTTAAATGAATAATAAAAACTGAGATGAAAAATGTACTTAAGCCAGAATTTTAATTTTACTATGGTAAAATAAATGTTCAGCGATATCTTCAAAAGATTTTTGAATTTTGGTGCACTTTTTTTCTATATCATGTTGATATGGTAACTAATAAATACTGTAAATTTGGTTATGCTAGCATGTGTGGAAATATTCATACCACGTGTGTTACAACTAACCCCGCGTTTGTGCCCCGCGCTCCCCTACTATTATTTCTCACGAGCTTAGAAGAAAAACATTAAAAATGCATCCAAACCTTTAAGCTTTGTAACTCCTTTCACATTTATACAGTGACTTGACTTGAATACCATGTAAGAATAACTTTTAAACAAGCCAAAAAACACCGCTGCAGTTCCTTAAACGTCAAAAGACGCACAAATAGCACAGAATCCTATGAAAACAAGACAGAAATGACCGCTATAAATGTCGCTTTTTTGTCATGATTGTGTAAATATATTAAGCTATGCGAACATCTCACCTCAGAATAGTATGTTACGTTCTGTACCGAGGCTTCGGAGCGTGTATGGCGTTATTTTAAAGCCCGCACGCGGATTTCCTTTGCTCTAACAAAAAACCGGACGCGTATGGCAAGCCGTATTAGCATTAAATACTCCTTGCTGTACTAGTATGGCAAGCCGATGTAGCATTTAAAACTTTGGTTTGACTATCCATAAAATATATTTCAAATAGTTACAATTGTAATTCGGCTAGTCAAATTTATAATTTATAATTTGACTAGTCAGAATGATTATTAGAGATATCTGCAATTATAATTGCACTAGTAAGAAATCTGATTAGAGATATCTCTAAATACTTTATGACTAGTCAAAACTCCATTTAAGATCTCTGTAATTACGTCATAGATATCTTCAATAGATGCGTTACATATACGCAAAGGTAATTAGAGATATCTCTAATTCAGTTTCGACTAGTCACAATTATATTTTAAGATATCTGAATTGTACCTGCTCCTAGTCGAATCTGCTGTTGTGTGACATGAGACTAAATTTACTCAGCTCCTCCCGCCTAATGCTTAGTGCTAACTGCTAACAACAGTGGTCTGCTTTTGTTGTCATGGAGAGAAAAGCTACTGGATGAAGTGCTTCAGGGATTATTAAATAATATCTGGATGCAGCCATATGTGGTAAAAGGTCTCCAGCGTGCATGTATTTATAGCGCTGTGATTTTAATTGAATGTTGCAAAACAGACCAAATGCAGTGTAATGTTCAATAAAGGCAGAAAACCGCAAACTGCTCGTCTTAATTTATTTATTATATATTTAGACATAATGAAGAATAATGGAATTATACAACAAAAACATGAAAAATAGTACAAATAAATACATGACGGACAAGAACAATGCTTCATAATCAGATGCAGTCAAAAAAGGTGAAGGCTGATTTTAAAAAGATTACAAATTAATAAAAGTTTAATGGGCACTGATGACATTTATTAGTAGGTTACATTACATTGTGTATGGAGTTAGGTTTATGGCAGCTTGTTTCTGCCATGGAATAAGCTTTCAATCTTACAATTCTGACTTTTTTTTCTCAGCATTGCGAGATATAAACAATGCAAGTTATAAACTTTATAACTCACAATTCTTACTTTATGCGAGTTGCATTGTGTTTAGCTATATCTCCTAATACTGAGAAGTCAGAATTGTGAGATAAAAAGTCTCTATTTATTTATTTATTTATTTATTATTTATTTATTTAGTGGTGGGAACGAGCTTCCATAGGAAATAGCCCACAAGGTGGGAGTATTGTGTTGTATTATAGCAAGAGATCCATGATGATGATATTCTGCTGTGTTCAGTGATGAGCGCCAGTGTATTCTTTTAACATTATATCAAATGTTGCAACAGCTGTCATGAGGCCTATACATGTGTTCGTTTGTAAATAAAGGCTAACATAATTTAATCCACAGCACACACGTCTCAACATTACGATATAAAATAGGACAAAAGCCTATCTGAGTCCTCTCTGTATAGCCTACCACTTTTACACATGCTCCAGCTACATTTTTATTTCCATACTTTTGAATTACTTCTGTATAAAACAGTTTAAAATGACCCAAAGACGCAGGACCTTTATTATACAACTCTTAGACAAAATGGCGGATGACAACAGTTTCCAACGAAAAAAGCCGAGCTCCTGGAGGCGCGCCGTGGGCAGAGCTAAAGAGTGACGAGCACTTGAGTGCCGTATGCCAACAAAACAGACATTTGATGCCGTTTCACTTACCATCTGCAGTTCTGAGTCATGACCGGGATCTTTTATAGCTGGGACCGCTCCATCTTTCAGTATCAAACGATGTGCAAATACAGTGTCGAACTGGGCCTTGTTTATAAAACGAACGTCAACAAACCCGCTTGTGAATCTCCATTGCTGCCCCGGAAAAACAACTGTATCCACTGTTTACATAACGCTGGGTTCTTTAGGAAGCTGAACAAAGTTATCTTTCCCTTACAACCAAAAACACACTTCTTTGGA